GGTCCAGAAATTCTCCACACAGCTCTCCATAGTGGTTGGACCAGTTTGCACTCCCACCACAGTGCAGAGAGTTCCTTTTTCTCCACATCCTCGCCAACATTTGTTGTTGCTAGTTTTTTTAGTATGTGCCATTCTCACTGGTGTGAGATGGTATCTCATGGTAGTTTTGATTTGCATTTCCCTGATTGCAAGTGATGTTGAACATTTTTTCATATGTCTGTTGGCCATTTGCATTTACTCTTCAGAGAAGTTTCTTTTTAGCTCTTCTGCCCATTTTTTGACTGGATTATTTTCTTTGTTGTTGCTGAGTCTCATCAGCTCTTTGCAGATTTTTGTGATCAGTCCTTTATCATTAGTGTTGGGTGCAAAAATGTTCTCCCAGTTGGTGGGGTTTCTCTTTGTTTTTGTTATTGTCTCTTTTGCTGTGCAGAAGCTCTTTAATTTGATGTAGTCCCAGCTGTTTATCTTTCTCTTCACTATCACTGCTTTGGGTGATGTGTCTGTAAGGATGTCTTTGATGTGCAAATCCCGTAGTGTTTTGCCATATTTTCCTTCTATGTATTTTATGGTTTCAGGTCTTATGTCTAGTTCTTTAATCCATTTTGAGTTGATTTTTGTGTATGGTGTGAGGTAGTGGTCAAGCTTCATTCTTTTGCATGTAGCGACCCAGTTTTCCCAGCACCATTTATTGAACAAACTTTCTTTGCTCCAATGCATAGTCTTTGCTCCTTTGTCAAAGATTAGTTGACCATAAATCTGTGGGTTTATTTCTGGATTTTCTATTCGATTCCATTGGTCTGTATGTCTGTTCTTGTTCCAATACCATGCAGTTTTGATGATTATGGCTTTGTAGTATAGTTTGAAGTCTGGGAGTTTGATGCCTCCATTTCCTTCTTTTTTTTTCAGTAGAGCTTGGGCTATTCGGGGTTTTTGGTGATTCCATATGAATTTCATCATAATTGTTCATTTCTTTGAAGAATGCCATTGAGATTTTGATTGGAATAGCATTGAAGATCTGATATGCTTTTGGTAGGATGGCCATTTTAATAATGTTTATTCTTCCAATCCATGAGCAGGGATGTCTTTCCATTTCTTTGTGTCTTCTTCTATTTCTTTTAACAGTGTTTTATAGTTTTCTTTGTATAGGTCCTTTACCTCTTTTGTTAGATTTATTCCCAAATATTTGATTTTTTTTGTTTCAATAATAAAAGGGGTGGTTTTTTTGATTCTTCTTTCTTCAGATTTATTGTTTGTGTATAGGAAGGCTACTGACTTTTGCATGTTGATTTTGTATCCTCCCCACTTTACTAACTGACCGATGAGTTGAATTAGTTTTTCTGTGGAGATTTTGGGGTTCTCTATGTATATTATCATATCATCTGCAAATAGTGATAGTTTGACTTCTTCTTTTCCTATTTGGATTCCTTGATGGTCTTTCTCTTGTCTTATTGCTCTGGCTAGGACTTCCAGTATTATATTGAAAAGCAGTGTGAGAGTGGACATCCTTGTCTTGTTCCAGATCTTAATGAATTGCTTTCAGCTTTTCACCATTGAGAATGATACTGGGCTGTTGGCTTGTCATAGATGGCCATTATGTTGAGGTATGTTCTTGTATCCCAAGAATTTTCAAGGGCTTTTATCATGAATGGGTGTTCACTTTGTCGAAAGCTTTCTCAGCATCTATTGATATTATCATATGGTTTTTATATTTCTTTTTTGTTGATGTGTTGGATAACGTTGATTGATTTTCGGATGTTAAACCATCCTTGTGCCCCTGGAATGAATCCAACTTGGTCGTGGTGAATTATCTTATGGATTACATTGTTGGATTCTGATAGCTAAAATTTTATTGAGGATTTTGCATCAGTGTTCATTAGGGAGATTGCCTATAGTTTTCCTTTTTGTGTTGTCCTTATTCGTTTTGGTATTAGTGTAATATTGGCTTCATAGAACGTGTTGGATTGTCCCTTCTTCTCAATTTTTTGGAAGAGTTTGTGAGGATAGGCACTAATTCGTCTCTGAATTGTTTGGTAGAATTCATTTGTGAATCCATCAGGTCCTGGGCTTGTTTTTGGGGAGGTTTTTGATTACCATTTCAATTTCGCTGCTTGTAATTGGTCTGTTTAGGTGTTCTATTTCTTCTTTAATCTAGCTTGGGTGATTGTAGAGTTGTAGGAATTGTCCATCTCCTCTAGATTGTTGAACTTGTTTCCATATAACTGTTCATAGTAGTTACTGATTATTCTTTTGATTTCTGCTGTGTCGTTGTGATTTCTCCTCTTTCATTATGATCTGTGGTATTTGTGCTTTCTCCCTTTTTTCCTTTGTGAGCCTGGCTAGGGTTTGTCTATTTTATTTATTTTTCAAAGAACCAGCTCTTGTTTCATTGATCTTTTGGATTGTTTTTTTAGTTTCAATTTCATTTATTTCTGCTTTGGTTTTTATATTTCTTTTCTTCTACTGGATTTGGTTTTTTTTGTTGTTCTTTTTCTAGATCTTTGAGCTTCGAGATAGGTTGTTTCTTTGAGTCTTTCTTTGTTTTGATGTGAGCTTCTATGCTATATATTTTCCTCTTATTACTGCCTTTGCTGCATCCCATACATTTAGGATATTGGTGTCCTCCTTGTCATTCAATTCAAAGAATTTTTTAATTTCTTCTTTGATCTCCTCGTTAGTCAGTGGTCTTCCAGTAGTGTGGCTTTTTAATCTCCATGAGGTAGGATAGTTCCTGCCTTCTTTTTATGATTTATCTAGTTTGATGCCTTCGTGGTCAGAAAAGATGGTTGGTATGATTTCAATCTTGTGTATCTGTTGATGTTTGTCTTGTGCCCACAGTATGTGATCGATCCTGGAGAATGATCCGTGTGCGCTTGAGAAAAATGTGTACTCCGTTTTTTTGGGGTTTAGTGTTCTAT